ACAAGGTATGGCATTCCATGTTGATCGTAGTAGTCGTTGGATTCTTGATTCAGGAGCCTCTGATCATATGACAGGTAATGCATCCTTGTTTTGTTCTTATACCCCTTATTATCACCCGTCACGAATAAGGACTGCTGATGGTAGTTTCTCTAATATTGCGGGAAAGGGATCCATTAAGCTCTCTGATCATATTACTCTGAACTCTGTCCTTCATGTCCCTTCTCTTACTTGTAACCTTATCTCTATTAGTAAACTTTCCTCTGAATTGCATTGTGTTGCTAAATTCTCTGCCAAAACTTGTGTTTTTCAGGAACAGGATTCGGGGCTGATGATTGGCAGTGCTAGAGAGGAAGAAGGACTTTACTATTTTGAAGAAGATTCTCATGAAAAGAGAATTTTTGCAAATCACTCTTTATGTTTATCAGACGATTGAAATGATGTTTTGTTGTGGCATCGTCGTTTAGGACACCCAAATTTCTTTTATCTTCAAAAGTTGTTTCCAAACTTATTTATCAATAAAAAACCAAGTTCCTTTTTTTGTGATGATTGTCAGTTTGCAAAACACTCTCGTGTTTCTTATTCCCTCAGAGATTATAATGTTTCGTCTCCATTTACATTGATCCATAGTGATATTTGGGGGCCAGCTCGTGAAAAAAATATATCTGGAACTCGTTGGTTTATTACTTTCATTGATGATCATTCTAGAGTATGCTGGGTATATCTTCTAAAGGATAAGTCTGAAGCTGCAGCCACTTTTAAAAACTTTCATGCTATGGTACGAACTCAATTCCAGACCTCTATCCAAATCCTGCGAACTGACAACGGTACTGAATATTTTAATTCAGTTCTTGGGGATTACCTAACCAAGCAAGGTATTATCCATCAAAGTTCTTGTCCTAACACCCCTCAACAAAATGGGGTGGCCGAAAGAAAAAATAGACATCTCATTGAAGTTGCTAGAGCCCTCTTGTTTACGATGCATGTCCCTAAATACCTATGGGGGGAGGCTGTATTGACTGCCTCATATCTCATCAATCGGATGCCTTCTCGTGTCCTGAATTTTCATTCTCCCCTATCTTGCCTTACCCGTTTTTCTTCCTCCTTTCGGGCTTTCTCTTCCCTTCCTCCAAAGTTGTTTGGCTGTGTGGCTTTTGTTCACATTCCTCCACATCAAAGGTCAAAACTTGATCCTAAGTCTGTTAGATGTGTCTTCATAGGATATCCTCCTAATCAAAAAGGGTACAAATGCTACTCACCTTCTCTTCGAAAGATTTTTGTTTCTATGGATGTTACCTTTTATGAAACACAATCATTTTTTCCTTCGACTTCTCTTCAGGGGGAGTTTATTGGTGTAAATGAAGACAAGTCTTGGATTCCAAATAATTCTACTCTCTTACCTTTACCCTTGGAAACAAGTGTTGTTTCTTTACCTATGGAGACAGGGGGAGTTAATGAACAGGAGAAAAGGACAACAACTGTACCAGAGACTGGAGATCCTCCCGGTAAATGGGGAAAAATCTACAGCAGGCGTAAATCTCCTCAAGATCCTCTAGACTGCCAGAGTTCTGACCCGAGTCCTAGTTCCAGCAATCCACTTGAGAACACCGGTACATCTGACCTAGATATGCCCATTGCCCTTCGAAAAGGTACTAGATCTTGCACTGCTCATCCTATTTCTCATTACATTTCATATGAAAAGTTATCTCCAGGTTTTCGTGCTTTCAACACTATATTAGACAGTACAAAAATACCAAAAAATATCCAAGAGGCACTTAATGACCCTAAATGGAGGGATGCAGTTTTTGAAGAAATGGATGCACTTAAGAAAAATGGAACTTGGGAATCCGTGGCACTTCCCAGAGGAAAGAAAACTGTAGGTTGCAAATGGGTGTTCACAATAAAATTTAATGCAGATAACAGCATCAACAAATATAAGGCCAGATTGATTGCCAAAGGATTTACTCAGACTTATGGGATAGACTATCAGGAGACGTTTGCTCCCGTTGCCAAACTTAACTCTATCCCAGTCCTACTATCACTTGCTGCCAACCTTGATTGGCCCTTGCATCAATTGGACGTAAAGAATGCCTTCTTAAATGGGGACTTACATGAGGAAGTTTACATGGATCCACCACCTGGTTTTGAAGAGGGAGATGGTTCAGTATGCAAGTTGAAGAAGTCTCTTTATGGACTTAAACAATCCCCTAGAGAGTGGTTTGAAAAGTTTACTCGTGTTGTTAAAGAAAGAGGATTTGTCCAAGCTTAGACTGATCACACTTTATTTTTTAAACACTCCGATAGTGGCAAAATTGCTATCCTCATTGTTTATGTTGATGACATAATTGTCACTGGTGATGACTGGGAGGAAATAAAATCTTTAAAGGGGGGTTTAGCTAATCAGTTTGAACTGAAGGATCTTGGATCACTCAAATATTTCCTTGGAATGGAAGTTGCTCGTAGCAAGGCCGGAATTTCCTTATCTCAGAAGAAATATATCCTAGACCTGCTACAAGAAACAGGTATGCTCGGGTGCAAGCCAGTAGAAACTCCTGTTGAACCCAATATTAAATTGGGAATTGAAGATGGAAAAGATGTTGACAGGGAGCAGTACCAAAGGTTGGTAGGGAAGCTGATCTACTTATCTCACACTCGGCCTGATATTGCATTTGCAGTTAGCATGGTTAGCCAATTCATGCATTCTCCTAAGGAAAAACACCTTAGTGCGGTTTATAGAATCCTCAAGTACCTCAAAAACACCCCTGGTCGAGGAATGCTCTTTAAAAGGGGACACAAGAGGATGATAGAAATCTATACAGATGCTGATTGGGCTGGTTCTGCAATGGACCGAAGATCCACTTCAGGATATTGTACCTATGTCTGGGGAAATCTTGTGACTTGGAGAAGTAAGAAACAAACTGTTGTTGCCAGAAGCAGTGCAGAAGCAGAATTTCGGGCGCTAGCCCATGGCATTTGTGAAGGAATCTGGTTAAGAAGACTCCTTGAAGAGTTAAAGATATCTTATTCTCTACCTGTCAGACTCTATTGTGATAATAAGGCTGCAGTCAGTATTGCTCAAAATCCTGTACATCATGATAAAACCAAACATGTGGAGGTTGATCGTCATTTTATTAAAGAAAAATTAGAGGAGGGTAGTGTATGTTTGTCATATATACCTACCAAGGAGCAAACAGCCCATTCTCACCAAAGGATTACATAAACCCATCTTTGAGGATTTAATTAGCAAGTTGGGGATGATCAATATATATCTCCCAACTTGAGGGGAGTGTAGAATATTCTAGAGTCTTTTACTTGTTTCTAGCTACTAGTATCTTTGAATAGTGTGATGCCTCTTCGGTTACTGTGTATTTTATTTATTACTTCATCTCCTTAACTACCTTGTAATATGTATAAATAGAACCCTTTGGGGTGTCAATCTATATATGAAAAAAATACATTTCAGTCTTATATTCCAATAGTAATGACTAGAGAATAAGAGCCACAAGGATTTCTTCTCGTCAAACAATGTAGAAAACCTCACCGAGTGAGAGAGAAGGAAATTTATCCTTTCCTAGAATTCGAACCTTAATAGGTTCATACTCTAGTTTAAAATCTTAGAGGAAATCAAAGATGTGGCCTTTTTCAATAAAACTAGCCAGGTGGAAGCATCCTTGTTGCACTCCTTTTCTAGATTATTGATATTGATCTAGGATCCCATAATAATTTGGAAGAGAGAGGGTTCCTTTAGTAGAAAAAAATGATTGTTTTGAACCAATGGCAAGTGGCTATATCATGTTTCATGGAGTAAGTCTTATCGAGAATGTCCTGAATTTCATGGGCAGTTGGAAATAACTTGCAATTTTGACAAATCATCGGTGTCATAGAATTTCACATCTATGTCATAATAAGGGAGTCTCCATCGTCCCACTCATCAAACTTTGGGTCTGCTTATTAGGGCCTTTCCCTCAATATGGTTTAGCTTCCCTCGTCTTGAAGGTAGTATGAATGACTTGGCTCTTTGCAAATTATTTTTTTCGGTATGCCTATAGGTTGGATGTAAGATCGGTAGGTCATTGGGAGTGGGCATCATGATATTAGACATGATGGACTGGGTAGTGGTATAGTTGTGTTGGTCTCAGAGTTTGCATTGTGACAATGCGTTAATTGTTTGGGTGGGCCATGGAGGAGATGAGAGAGCTTGTAGGTGGTGCTGTATGGACAGGCTAAGGGCAGATTAGGTTCAAGGAGGCCAAGACAAGTTAACTAAGACCAGTGTTAGACCCAACGGTGGCCTGATTATCCGCCTCGTGTGTTCTAAGCAGCACTGCATGGATTTGAAGGGTGAAAGAACAAGGCACGGATGAGAGTGCGTGAATGGATGGCTGGTGTTGGGTTTCCAGTGATTGAATGATTAGTGAGATCACCTGTTGAAAAAGCTGGGGCGGCAAACAACAATATATAACAACAACTGAATGTGACAAAGGAAGTTTTGAATGCGTTGAAGGCACAAATCAAGGATGAGACCAGCAGCAATGAAGGCGGCTACTACTAAGGCCACGATGAAGCTAGGCTTGGGTTAATTTGCGGGAGCAGAGTCTCCTAAAGATTTGGAAGCTCTGAAGCCAAATTGAATGTAAAACTAGAATATTGTTTCTAAATGAATAAAAATTGTATTATTCATTACAATATTTAGGCTAAACTAAAAAATTACTTTACTAAAATAAGTCCAATCTAATTTAACTAATGACCTATCCTATTAATAAAATAATATATTTTAATTACAATAGTTACAAATGTTACCGAAGTTGGAATTTTACATCTATAGCTTTTGCTTGCTTCACAGAATCAAAATACATGGAACTTTTTTTTTTGGAGGTCCATAAAGCGTTAAGTTGAAGATTTGCACTGATATTTTTATTGTGGGCAAGATGCATGAAGGATTTGAAATTGTATTCTCGGCTTAGGTATTGTATTGCATTATGTGAATTGCCATTGTCTTGTAGGTAACCAATAGGAGGATAAATTTCATAGTTGATAAGAGTGAGACCAGCACCACAATGGATGGTTTGAATTTCGGTTTTGAGGCAGGAGACCAAGAAAAGGATCGCAGCTGGTTATTGTCATCTCTTCATCAAATTTATAGTCGGAGGTGAATTTATTTTGTTGACTGTTTATTATCTATTCATTCTATCGCCTGCACTAGTCATAATATTCATTGATGTATATGTTAACTATACATTGATGTAGTTGATATTTGTCTATTAGCATTAGTTTTTAGTTAGTTTTAGATTCACCATTGATGTTATGGAATCTTTGCTTTCCTTAAACTGCATTGGGCTAGAGATGGTTTAGGGGGAAATCTCTGCCTTTGGACTTGCTATTGGACATGATAGTCTTTCTGGCTTCCATTGGATGCTCAGCTTATGGTTTCTTTCAAGGAGTCTCCTAGATGGGCTTGCAAACATTTTGCAAAACTGTTTCCTATAAATGAGTTTGTTTACACTTGCTATTCATTTGTTTCTTGGCCAAGGATGATATCCCATTTTTCTTTCCACTACTCGTTCTTTCCTCTATCTTTTAATAAAATGCTTCTATAAAAAAAAAAAAACTTGGGCTAGATAAACAGTAGAGTTCAGCATTAAAACCATGAGATATCAGTGCTACTTGAAGCAACCATGTGTTTCTTCCGATTTTACTTAGCTACTTGAGGTTTTCTGCTTGATAGTCTATATTATTGTGTAAAGTTATTATCCATATGGAGTATAAATTTAGAAAAAACAAATGTTCAGTTGTTTGTCAGTGTTGGTTCCTGTTACAGATACCTTCTTAGAAGAAGTGCACTGGAGCTATTTATGGTGGATCGTTCAAACTTCTTCTTTGACTTTGGGGTATTACTTTTTAAATGTGCCACTTTATTTCCTTTTACTTTTCAGGAATAAAATATTGGATTAGTAATTGCAGTGAATGCTGATATAATTCTGAACATTTTACTAAGGATTGTTAAATGTTACAAACTTATAATCCTAGTACTTATTTCCCCTACCAAAATTTCCTCTTCAGAGTAGTGAGGGGCGAAGAAATGCATATCAAGCAATTGTTCACGCACGACCTCCTCATTTAAATAATATATATTTAGCTACTCAGGTAATATCTTTTATGTGACTATTCATTTTTGTAAATTTCTCTCCATTTGGGCTGAGAATAACAATAATTTATTTTTCAGAGGCCTGAACAACTAATGAAAAGAATTCAGCTTACGGAGCGCTGGGCAAGGTGGGAGGTAAAAAGTGTGCCTTTAAGACTTCAAAAGATATTGGTGTATGTTTGGATTTGCCTAATTATATTGAAAATCAGGTTTTGTTTTTTAGGTTGAGTTGTTTTCTCCAAAAGCAAATATGTTTGTAATTTGGATTTAATCATAAAATTTTTTGAATTATTTTTTATACGAAAATAATTTTTTTTTCTAAAAACTACCATTAGAGCATTGTAATTTTAATTATTTCTTGAGATTATTTGAAAAGCTTGAGAGGTAAATACTTTTTTACCTTGTCAAGAACCAACTCTCCCAAAAACTTAAATTGTTAGGTAAAAATATTTGAATAATTTTTATATTATATCTATAATATCTCAACGCAAAAGCCTTTTGTGGAATTGAAGTATGAATAATGTACGCGACGTGTTGAAAGCTTTGTCATCGACAATTTTATACTTAAATTCAACTTTTGTTTTATTAGAAGAATGAGAATGACAAGGATGGAATTCTTGGACAATTTGTTCGTAGAGGTTCTTACCATGTCAAGAACCAACTCTCACAAAAGTTATAGATTATTTTGATAAAAACCAACCCAGAGATTAGGAAAGTAATTATTAGGGTTTATTCCTGCTTGGTTTTATATATTATAGCCCTTGTACACGATGACTCATGAAATAATATTCAATATTTTCCCATATTTCAGCTTGGAGTTAGAGCTCCTTATCTGGCATGCCCGACTTTCGTTAAACCTTTGGTTTGCCTCTAGTCGCAGTCCTCCAATGCTGGTGCCACCTCTTTTATGGCTCTTTCATTTTTTCCTTTAGCGCTTCAAGACTTCTGGTCCTTCCAGTTGTTGTGCCTCCTTGTTGGCCCGTTTTTGACTTGCTGACATCCATCTCTGTTGCCTTCACCCATTGCTAGAAAACTTTTTTGGCATCTTTTCCGACAACAATCCATTTCATCTGATTCAGACTTCGATCTACATGACTCGGACACCTCGCGCGCAAACATTGCTTCTAGTGTCCAAATGCACATCTAGAAGCTTCTCGTATCCTTATTTCCGGTCACCATCTTCCACCATTGTTTTTCATGTCTGGACACCCAGGATTGAAGTTGCACCGTCTAGATTGGCCCAGCCACCGAAAACCCATCTCAAGCAGCCGCCACACATGCCCTCACGTGTGTGGCAGCATGTAACACCTCCAGTCAACTTCGGTCAGGATCGTTCAGGCCTCCTTTGCTTGGGTTTGTCCATTGCCAATCTATTTGATGCCTCCATATTATACTTGTCTTTCTTCTTTGTCATTTGTATCTATTCCCAAGGTGATGCATTATCCCATTTTGGGTGAAGACAGGAGGCGGGCTATGATTGGTGAGATGAATGCACTTCATAGGAATGGCACTTGGGAACTAAGATGGGCGGGCTATGATTTGGGAGATGAATGCATTTCATAGCAATGGCTCTTGGGAACTAGTTCCTCTTCGCTGTTGGTTGTTGGTGGATTGTTACTCTTAAGGTTGGTCTTTATTGCAAGATTGATCGTCTTAAGGTTCATCTAGTGGCTAAAGAGTACACCTAGATTTTGGGCTTGGATTATGGAGAACATTCTCACTAGTGGCAAAAATTGCTTTTATTCACCTCTTTATCTCAATGGCTGATTTTTTCCGTTGGCAACTTCATCTGCTTGATATAAAAAATCCTTCATGGTGGTTTGATAGAAGAAGTTTATATGGAGCAAATTTTTTAGTTTGTTGCTCGGGGGGAGTTTACTGGCATGGTTTGAGTTGAAAATAGAAGGGATATATTATTTGATAATTGTGTTTTACATCTGTACAATTGCTCTCTATTTAAAGAGACTAAATAACCTAATGGGCTAAGCCCAAAAGAAGATTATAGAATGAAAATAAATAAACAAATACAATTATTTACAACTCTCTCCGTCAAGCTGAGATATAGATATTTATCCTTCCCAGCTTGCTAGTAAGCTCTTGAAACCTTTCTGAGGGGAGACCTTTTGTTAGAATATCAGCTAATTAACGTCCAGAAGATGTATGGAATGGTGATCAACCCGCTATCAAGCTTCTCTTTGATGAAATGACGGTCGACCTCAATGTACTTAGTCCGATCATGTTGAACTGGATTATGAGCTATACAAATTGCGGACTTATTATCACAAAACAACTTCATAGGTCCTTCACATCTTATTTTGAGATAATCAAGTATAATTCTCAACCACAATAATTCACAAATGCCTTGAGCCATAGCTCAAAATTCAGCCTTTGCACTCGATCTGACAACCACGTCTTGCTTCTTACTCCTCCATGTTAATAAGTTACCACAAAGAAACATACAATAACCAGTGGTAGATCAACGATCAATCACGAAACCAGTATAATCAGCATAAGTATAAACTTCTAAAGAGAGATTGTCATCATGCCCGAATAACAGTCCTTTACCAGGAATGACTTTGAGATATTGAAGAATTCTCTCCACTGCCTGCATGTGTTTTTCTTTTGGATTATGCATGAACTGACTCACAATACTAACAACATAGGTTAGGTCTAGTCTAGTATGAGCCAAATATATCAATCTCCCAACTAACTGCTGATATTATCCTTTATCATCTGGAGGACTTTCTTCTTCATATCCCATCTTGTCATTCTGCTCAATAAGAGTATTAGAGGGTTTACACCCAAGTTTTTCCGCTTCTTTAAGAAGATCAAGGACATATTTCCTTTGGCTGATAAAAATTCCTTCCTTTGAATGAGCTACTTCTATCCCTAGGAAATATCTCAATCTCCCAAGATCTTTAATTTCAAACTCAGAGACTAGCCGTGCTTGTAGAAAATGTCTCTCTGCAATATCATCAATATATACAAGGAGCACAATTAGCTTCCCATCATTGGAGTGCTTGAAAAACAATGTGTGATCTCCTTGACTCTGTTTATATCCTAAGGCCATCATAACCTTAGTAAATCTCCCAAACCAGGCACGAGGAGACTGTTTCATCTATACAAGGCATTTTTTAACTTGCAGACTTTATTTCCTCCATCCATAGAGTCAAAGCCAGGTGGGATTTCCATGTAGACTTCTTCTTCTAACTCACCATTAAGGAAAGCATTCTTCACATCAAATTGATTCATATTCCAGTTGTAATGGGCATCAAGGGATAACAAAGCTCTCATAGTATTCATCTTTGCAACTGGGAAAAAAGTTTCTTCATAATCAATGCCATAGGTCTGAGTGTAACCCTTGGCAACTAACCGAGCCTTATATCTCTTAAGAGTACCATCAGAATTATATTTCAAGGCATAAACCCTTCTGCACCTTACTGCTTTCTTTCCATCAGGTCTATTAACAACCTCCCAAGTTTTATTTTTTTCCAAGGAATTCATCTCATCTTGCATGGCTTGAGCCTAATTCTCATTTTTCAATGCTTCATGTATTGATTTTGGGATTGAGATAAAATCTAGTGCTGAAATAAAACTTTTGTGCTGCATAGAAAGATTAGTAGAAGAGACAAATTGAGAGATAAGGTATTGGGTACAAGATCTTTTTTCCTTTTCTTAGGGCAATAGGTAAGTCATCAGAGGTACTGGGTAAGCTATCGGAAGCAACATGCAAGTCATTAGAGGCAATAATATTAGGTTCAGAAACAGGAGAAGTAATAATAATAAGGTCAAAAACAAGAGATTCAGGATTTACCAGTGGTTTAGACGCTTGAGGCTGCTGGTGAAGCAGTGTGGACTGCTTTCTCCTGTGATATACCAACTCATGTGTCACAATCCTCCATATTTTCGATGTATTGGCTGGGTCAGACACAGGAGGATCAGAAACAAGAGGAAGAGGTGTAGGAGAAGACATGGAAGGTCCAGACTCAAAGAGAGAAGGTGATGAATCTATTGACGGCTGCTCTCCCCCTAAAGATGAGGACTTTGGAAAAAAGACTCAGATTCATGAAATGTGACATCCATGGAGACAAAGTATTTCCGACTAACAGGATGATAACATTTGTAGCCTTTTTATCAGGAGTATAACCAAGGAAGATACATTTGAGAGCCCTAGGACTCAACTTATTGCAATGGTGTTTATGAACATGGACAAAGGCAACACACCCAAACACTCGTGGCTGAAGACTCTGCATAAAGGGAACAGAGGGAAATAATGAAGTCATTGAGTGAATAGGACTTACATTGTCAAGGACCCGAGAGGGCAAGCAATTGATTAAGAAAGTTGCAGTAAGAATGACATCTCCCCAGTAGCAATTGGGTACATAATTATGAAAAGGTAAGGCACGAGCAACTTCAAGAAGATGACGATTCTTCTTGTCAGCAACCTCATTTTGTTGAGGGGTGTACACATAAGTAAGTTCATGAATCATGCCCTGATCTTGGATGAATTGAGAAAGACGCTGATTGACATATTCAGTATCATTGTCAGACCTTAGTCTTTTAATTCTTTTACTAAATTAGGTCTCAATCTTTTTATTAAATTGAAAGAATAACGGTGGTACCTTAGATTTTTCATGCATTAAATAAACCCAGGTTACACGAATGCAATCTTAATGAAAGAAACAAACAATTTATTACCAAAAGCATGAGAAACTTTAGATTGACCCCCAAACATCAGAATGAACAAGATCAAAAGGCTCAACACTTTTAATGGTACTGGAAGGAAAAGAGACACAATGGTGTTTAGCAAACTCACAAACATCACAATGAAAAGACTCAACAGACTTAGACAAAAATAATGATGGAAATAAAGACTTAAGCAAACGAAATGGAGGATGCCCTAAGTGTTTATGATGAAGCCAAATCAAAGAGTCAACAATAGACTGAGAATGAGTCAATAAGGTGTGATTCTTAGCATACTCTGCAGAAGATTCTGGCACCAGATAGTACAGCCCACCTTGCTCCTTAGCACCCCCAATCGTCTTTCCCGTGGCGAGATTCTGAAAAGCATAGTGAGTAGGGAAGAAAGTTACAATGCAGTTCAAATCTTTGGTAATTTTATGGATAGAAAGAAGATTAGTGCAGAGTCTGGGAACATAAAGAGCATTTTGGAGATGTAAGGAAGGCTGTAAATATATGTTTCCAGAACCCGCAACTGACGTGTGTGAGCCATCAGCTACGGCTATTGTATGGGTGCCAATAGTAGGGTTATAAGAGAGAAAGGAGTAAGCACAATAAGTCATATGATCAGTAGCACCAGAATCAATAATCCAAGAATGTTTAAAATTAGTACAAGAAGTAAGAAAAGAATGAGTAGTGGAACTCATACCAATCACAGTCAAAGCACTAGCACTAGATGACTTACTCAGAGAATCAAGCATGGTCCGAATCCGCTCCAACTCATCTCGGCAAATAGAAATAAATTCCAAAGATGCACCGTGGGACCACGCCATAATGCTAAAATAACCTCAAAAGAAACAAATCAGTCTCAAATTGAGGAAAAATTACCCCAAAGGTATGCGGAGAGTCCAAACAGAGGTAGAATTATCAGATCTGCCAAAAAAGAACAAAAAAGGGCCAAAAAGACTGCAACTTGATGTGAAAATCACACAAATGCAAACCCAAATGACTTCTGACTCTAGCAGTAACACGGGAACAGTGCTGATGAACAGGAACACGTGAACAATTTTTTTTTTGGGAAACCTCCGTGGATTGATAGATCTGGAAAAACGGAGTCAAACAGTAGTCCTCTTGGTCTAAAAGGTCCCCGAATTTTTTTTTTCCGGTGATGGCTAATGGCGACGAGAGCATGGTTGTCAAACTCGCGAGTAAACTCGCAAACTCGGACGAGTTTACGCTTCTGGTCACCCTTAACGTTCCCGTTTCATTGCAAACTCACTTTTAGAACTCAAACGGTTGAAGCGCCGTGTTTTTTGGCAAACTCGTAAACTCTTACTAGTTTAACAATTTCAAGGAAATGGAGAAAAACCCATGGATCCGAAAATTTGACCCGAAACCCATCGTATAAATGGGCTTTTTAACACAAAAAACCCTAATACCTGGTTTCAGCCGCAATCTCCTTGCTCAGTGAGAGACGACGTCGCGCTACTCCTGCTCCACCATCTTCTCCGACGTGCTTCATCGTCGTCCTTCGTCTTTCTTCTCTTCCAATTTCTCCATGGAGAATTTGGGAGCCCCGGAGTCATGAGAGGTGGCTGATTTGGACAAGTCCATGAAGCGCTTGAACATGATGGTCTCCTCCATCAAAGATTCTCAACATCGCAAGCATGCTGATGATGCTCCACCACCACCTCAATATCTTCTCCACTTTGTTTCGTTTTTATTTTATTTTTTGCCTCTGTTTCTTTTTTTTCTTTTTTTTTGTGCCTCTGATTCTCGTTTCATTTACAATTTTTTTTTTTGGTAAATTCATTTATAATTTTTTTCTCTCTAAAATATGCACAGTATATTATTAGTAAGGAATCATGTTTTATTACTTTATTTAATTGTATTATACTAAAAGTTAAATTTAACATTATGTATATCTATATTAATAACTCATTTTTTATTTAAAAATCAATTGTCATATTAAAAGAAAACGTATTTGATATTAAATTTTAAGTAAAAATATTTAATATAACTAATATAACTCTGAATATGGATTTTAAGTAAAACATATTTGATATTTTGTTTAGGATTTTGATCTTTTGTGGTATGACTTTGTATGTTTGAGACATTATGTGATTATGACTATTGTATGACATTATTTTGCTAGTTGGTTGAATTAAATTTTCTTATTATATTACTTTATATATATATATATATATATATATATATATATATAATTTGTATCTTGTGTTACGATTCTACGATCCGAGTTACGATTCTGCGATTTACGATTTTGGTTCACCCTTCCGAGTTTGCGTAGACTCTCGAGTTTGACAACCTTGGGCGAGAGGCAAACAAATAGGGTTCTGCTCTAAAGACGACAGTTGCGGAAGCAGAGCCTCAGGATCGAGTTCTATACCAAGTTGAAAATATAAGGGATTATATTATTTGATATTTGTGTTTTACATCTGTACAATTGCTCTCTATGTAAAGAGACTAAATAACCTAATGGGCTAAGCACAAAACAAGATTATAGAATGGAAATAAATAAACAAATACAATTATCTGCAACAGTTTGCCATCTTTGCATATACTAGTATAGGTTCATTCAGTGTATATAGACACACTGTCTAGGTCCATTCTGTGTAAATACACTTATTTAGGTTCATTTTATGTTTATCCTATTTTTATTTGTAAAATCAAAGCAAATCTCCACTGTGAAGTTAAAAAACACGGAATCTAGTTTGGTAATTTAATACATAAAGGTTATTCTTGGTATACAATCCAAAATCATCTATCTTAAAATCAATTATGATTTAACATTTCCAAACATAAATCAATTTTGTCATAATTGATTTTCTTAAAAGTAATTTTAACATACTTTTTTCACAGCTAATCAAACACACACATTGTTTCTATTATAATTTCAACACTCATCGGTTTTGTATCCATTTTTTGATGCCCTTATGCAGATCAGTAATTTTGAGTATTTAATGCAACTCAATACACTGGCTGGGCGTAGTTATAATGATTTAACGCAGGTGATTTTTTTTTCTTAGTTTATTGTTTCCTATCATTAAACTCTTTAATCCTATCTTCATATTGTAATTTATTTTATCATTATTATTTATTTTTGGCAGTATCCGGTTTTCCCCTGGATTCTTTCTGATTACATCTCAGAGAGCTTGGATCTTTCTAACCCTTCTTCTTACCGAGATCTTTCAAAGGTTATCATGAATGTTGCTTCAATCAGTTCAAGGGAAAATACTTTTGTTTTTTTTAAAAAAACTAATGCTTTTGATATGATGCAGCCTGTTGGTGCGCTGAACCCTGATCGTCTGCAAAAATTTCAAGAGAGATATGCTAGCTTTGATGATCCCATTATACCCAAATTCCATTATGGATCACACTACTCAAGTGCAGGAACAGTAAGATTCCCCCCTTTTTTATCTTGAATATTTTAAAAAAAGAAAAGAAAAGAAAGAAAACAAAATTAGATCACTCTTGATTACCATAGTTTGTTAGCATTCAAGCAGGTGCTGCATGAAGATGTTAGGAACCCCTATTTAAGAAAAGTAGGTTAAAAGAAGGACGGGCCAGCAATCTAGTTGCATATGGCCTGTTAGTAAAAGATTTAATTGATATTGTTAGATGTGTTTTATATATTAGATATAATTACCTTAATAGAATTTATGTTGTTAGATACATTAGATAATGTTACCTAATCTTAATTAACATTTTTAGATACTGGTTACTTGTTATTAGGGGATATTATCAGATACAATAGTTAGGATTTTAAGATTTCGGAGGATACTCCTCTAGAATAGAAGTAGGATAAAAGTAAACAGAGGGCAGAGAGGGAGGAAGGGTGACATTAGAATTGGGTTGCGGGGAGAGACCAGCCTCTTGAAATCATGGATATCAGTCGCTGTATTCACTTTATTTTCCGTATCAATAAAATTCCAGCCTCTTGAAATCTTGGATATCAGTACCTGTATTCACTTTATTTTCCTTATCAATAAAATTTGTCTCAATTTTCTGCATAAATCTCCTAAGATGTGGTCCAGTTCTATGAACAAGTGTAGAAGCTATCGAATCCTGGGAGTTTGTTCATGGCTTGTACAAGGACGAAGGAGAAGGTTCGAATGATTCATGAAATTTATGGAGGACGCTCGGCTGGAGTCACTGGGGAGAAGGTTCGAACAATTTGTGAAATGGATTGACAGCGAGCAGAACGCAACAGATTGTTGCATGAATTCTATCTTTTGTTGAATATTTTTCATAGCTGGTTAGATAATTTGATAAGACAATAATTTTTTTTATTTTTCAGAATACGGCTAACCAATATCTGAAATAATCGATTACGATAAATAGTATCAAATCGAATCTATTTTTGTAACTTAAAGGGGTTAAAATATCGTTTGTTTTGGCTTTTTGACCCCATATTGTAGGGTGGATCTCGAAAGATATGAAAGATCTCCCTTTAAGCCGTACATATGACTATTGTTAGAATAGATATGATTAGATACGATTAGATATGATTAGATTACTTCCTATCTGTAAATATTATTCCTTTGTGATTAGTTCTGGGCTACTCACTTAAGCCCATTAGGGTCTCTATATATTGTAACTCTTTGTATCAGATTAATATACAACATATTATTTTATATTCAAGTTGGTACCAGAGCTCTTTTGTTCTGGGGACCCTCGCTTCCGCTTAGAAACCTTGTTTTCGCTTTAAAACCTAAGCCCACTGCTTAGGAGTCTTCTTTCTTGGCCGTGCGTCCTTCTGGCAAGCCATCTAGGGCTGTAAGCCCTTTCTGAGTAATTTTCCAAACGGGTCAGCACCTTCGACGGCCACCGGAACCACCGTCCGGCACTGTTCAGGCCGCCGGAGAAGTTTTCCGGCGAGTTTTCAGCCCAGACCACACGCAATCAGGACCGTCTCCTCCCGGCGACCAAGTCTGCGGAGGTCCGGTCACCAACACATCCCTCACGCGCCATCACGCGCTGCCCATCTCCTCTGCGCGTGGGCCTCACGCGCCACCTTTTGTCGGGGCGTGTGCACTGTTCCGGCAGCTTTTTTCGGTCGGTCTTGGACAGAGAAGCTCCCCTCCTCCTCCTCTTTCCGGATCTGTGGTTGGTTCTCTGTGGGTTTGATTTTTGGTGCGCACCTCTTCTTGATCGGTGACCAGGTTCGTTTCTATTTATTCGGTTTATATCTTTGTGATTTAATATAATGGCAACAACTTCTCCTGTTCATTCGGAGGTCAGTTCTCCACCTCCTCTTGTCAAAAATTCTCCCCATATCTTCTCCACCAATGTTGGGCCCATTACCTCTTCAAAGTTGAAGGGTTCTGTTAATTACAAGAACTGGGCCACCTCACTTCGAGTTTGGTTCTTTGGACAGGGACATGGGAACCATCTCACGACTAAGTCTACTGATGTTCCTAAGGAGGAAAAAATCTGATTGGGAAAAGATTGACAACCAGATTCTGAGTATTCTTTGGCAGTCTATTGATCCAGTCATCTTGGACATCTTCTATTCTTTTCAAACTTGCACTGAAGTGTTGGAGGAAGCAAAAAACCGCTACACTAATGATGTTCAGCAGTTCTATTTCATCATTTCTGAGCAAATCATCCGACATTCAGATGGAGACATATGTTGAAAAAAGTCGATCTTTGATGCAGGCATATTTGGATATGTTGCCTTACCCTATTGATGCTTCTGCATATCGGAAACAGGTGGAACGTCTGTTTATGGTTGCCACACTTTTTGGTCTCCCGAAGAATATGATAATGTCCGGGATACTATCTTGACTAGTGGGGATCCTGATCTATCAATGACGTATCAGCGTCTTCTGAATCTTAACAAGAAATCTGCTCCTGCATCGTCTGCTGTTGTTGATTCCACTGCTCTAGTTTCCCGTACTGACTTTCGCGGGAAAATTGGAGGTGGACGTGGTCGTGGTAGAGGCCAGGGAGTACGTGGCCCAGGAGGACGTGGTCAGCGACCTCGTTGTCATTATTGTCAGCAACTTGGTCATTATGAGGAACGTTGCTACATAAAGTATCCTCACCTGCGACCTTCTTATGCTGCTAATATAGCTCAATCGGATTCTGCTTCAAATGGTACATGTGAAGAACCTTGGGATACACCACCCCAAAAGCTAGCTCAAAGGGTGGGAGTGCCCAAGACCTTATAAAGGTCACATTAGTTGCACATACAACCAATGTGAGGCTATATATCTCAACACGCCCCCTCACACGAGAGCCCATTGGGCTTGAAGAGTGGACAATGCAACAGTCCCAGCCTACCTGTGCTAAGAAACGCCACAAGAGAAAGTGGAGGGCGGCGAGACTCTGATACCATGTTAATTGTCATAGATACAAGAGGAAATGTTAGTAATCCTTGTTGTATTAAACTACACAACATTGGTGCTATTATATAGCAAACCAATTGAAGAATACAAAGAGACACACTCAATGTGGGACTTCTACACTATTAACACTAACACTCTTAACAGTATAGTCTCTCTCTCCTCTGAAGACTATGCAGCATTCCAGACCCTTCTCAAGAAGGTCTCTCCTCAGTCTCAGGCCTCTGCTTCAGAAACTGGTAATTTTGTTGCTTGTGTTTCTCATTCTGCATCACTTGGCCCTTGGATATTTGACTCAGGTGCTACTGATCACCTCTGTGGTAATAAGGAACTCTTTTCATCCTTTACATATTCTGATAATTTACCTTCTTTTACCCTTGCTGATGGCACTAAGGCTCCTGTTCATGGGATTGGACAAATCTGTCCAACCTCCTCATTGACCTTGACATTTGTCTATTACATTCCTAACATCCCTTATAATTTAATATCTGTTAGTAAATTGATCAACTCTCTTAACTGTATTGTCACTTTCTCAAACCATTCTGTTTCTGTGCAGGACCCGGGTACGGGGAAGACGATTGGAGTGGGCCGTGATTCACGGGGTCTGTTCTACCTGGTTATGCCGAGTCCTTCCGTTGCTTGTTCTCTCAGAATCTCCACAACTCATCCACTGTCGCCTCAGGCATCCTAGTCTTTCAAAATTACAGAAGATGGTTCCTTTTTTATCCGGTCTACACACTTTAGATTGTCAGTCATGTCAGCAAGGAAAGCACATACGCTCCTCCTTTGCTAATCGAGTCAATAAACGAGCTAATGCTCCTTTTTCAATAATTCATTCAGATATTTGGGGTCCTAGTCGTAGTGTGTGTGTTTTAGGTTTTCGGTATTTTGTTACCTTTATTGTTGATTTTTCACGTTGTACTTGGATTTATTTAATGAAAAACCGTTCAGAGTTGTTTTCTATTTATCAAAATTTTTTTGCTGAAATTCATACTCAATTTGGTGCCTCTATTCGTATTTTCCGTAGTGATAATGCTAAAGAATATGTTTCTGTGGACTTTCCTAATTTCTTAGCCAAACAGGGTACTTTACACCAAACTACTTGTCCTCACACTCCACAACAAAATGGAGTAGCTGAACGTAAGAATAGACATCTCATTGAGACTGCACGGACTCTTCTTATTCACATGCGTGTTTCTCTTCACTTCTGGGCCGATGCAGTCCTTGCCTCTTGTTTTCTCATCAACCGTATGCCTTCATCTGTGCTTAATAATGACATTCCTTATAACTTATTGCTTCCAGATGTTCCTCTCTATCCTCTATCCACTTCCTCTCTATCCTCTATCCCCTTCCTCTCTATCCTCTATCCTCTATCCCCACATATCTTTGGTTGTACCTGTTTTGTTCATGATCTCATCCCTGGTAAGGACAAGTTAACATCCAAAGTCTTTAAATGTATTTTTCTTGGTTATTCTTGTCTTCAAAAGGGTTATCGTTGTTATTCTCCCGATCTTAAGCGTTACTTAGTTTCCGCTGATGTCACTTTTCTTGATCAACAACCCTTTAATTCTATCCTATCTCAGTTGTCACAGGTTGATCATGTTCTTCCTGTCCTTTTTCTTGACTTGTCTTTGCCAGCTGCAGGTGCTTCTATTCCATATGAGCAACCTATTGCTTCTATACCTGAGGACCGTCCACTTCTCACCTATTAACGTCGCAAAATTGTGCTTCCTGTCGACTCGACTCTTACTGACTCATCGCAAAACTGTGCCTCCCATTGCTCAAAGAAAAGGTACACGTACTACTCGTAACCCTTATCCTCTTTATATCTTTTTGAGCTATGACCGTCTTTCTTCACCTCATTTCACTTTTGTTTCTAGTCTTTCTTCTATTTCTATTCCTAAGACCACAGGTGAAGCACTTTTCCATCCAGGGTGGCGCCAAGCGATGCTTGATGAGATGACTGCACTTCATTCCAATGGCACTTGGGACCTTGTTTCTGCTGCTCCAGAGAAGTCTATAGTTGGTTGTCGCTGGGTGTTTACTGT